AGATTTTTATTTAACCTTCTTTCAATTCTTACTTTAAAATGTTATGCTTAAAATTACTGTCTTCTGGCGCTCCCTGGTGGCACAGTAGGTTAAAGCATAGCACTAAGAAGCTAAAGCCGCATCACCATGAGTTCGATCACTGCCCCCAGAGGTGATCCACATTGCCAGACAGACCTCTCCTGACCTGCCGGCTGCCCCTCTCAGTGTACTTTGTCAGTCAGCCTGTTCTGCTCCCCACTTCTCTGTCTCTGGTGAATCCTCTCACCACCTCTGTACCTCTGACCTGTACCCCAGGTCTGTATGCATAAATAAATGAATCTTTTTAAAAAAATTACTGTCTTGGGGAATTGATTCTATATCATTACAGATATTTCATTCTTTCTCTAGTAATTTTATGTCTTCTGAAGTCCACTTTATCTGGTACTATAATCACTTTAGCTTTCCTTGGTTAATATTGGTACTGTATATTTTCCCATTCTTTTCCTTTCAGTTATTTCTACTGCTGTTTTTGAAATGAGTTTCTTGTGGACAGCATACGGCTGAGTCTTTTTAAACCCACTCTGCCAGCCCCTATCTTTTAATTGATGTATTTAAACTGTTTACACTTAGTACCATTTTATTATTTTCTGGATGTTGTTTTTTTATTTACTTTTCTTTCATTTCCTTTTTTACTATTGATTACTTGAACATCTTTTTGCATTTCCATTTTGGTTTATCTGTAGTGTGTTTGAATGTGTATATTTACATATCTTTACATCTAGGTGTAAAAATGTTACGTCTAGGTGTAAAACTATATACATAATTTATTATAGTCTACTGATGTAAACATTTTATCAGTTGGAGTATAGGAACTTTAAATCTTATTTCTGTTCTTGTATTTGTCCCTAATTTATTCTTTCAAATATCCTCTACATTCACTTAGAACCAATACAGTGTTATAAATATATTTAGTTGTCAAACGTAATTCAGAAAATGTAAGAAAGGAAACCTACTTACCTCTTTTAGCCATATTCTTTATTCTTCCTAATGTTTCATTTTTTTATCATTTTCTATGTAGAAAGCTTCTGTTAATGATTTTATTTTTTTAGGGCAGTCTGTTGGGAACAGATTGTCTTACTTTTTCCATTACTGAAAATGTCTTCATTTTTCTTCCATTCCTAAAGGACATATTTACTGGGTATATGATTTGGGGTTGACAGTTTTTTTTCTTTCAGTAATTGAAAAATACTGTGCCACATTCCTCTGATGACCATGGTTTACAATGAGAAATCTGCTGTTGTCAATTTTTTTCCCACTGCTGATAAAGTGTTCAAGATGTTCTTCATGATGTTCTTTGTTTTTAGTTTTCAGAAATTTAATTATGATACCTTGTTGTAGATTCCTTTGGGATTGTTCTTTTTGTCTTTTCTCAGCTTTGCAAGTCCATAGGTTTGTGTTTCTTGCCAGACTTTGAGTTTTCAGCCCATGTTTCTTATGGTAGTTTTCTAGGCCCATGCTCTGTTTCCTCTGCTTTCAGAATTGTGATGACATGAATATACACATCTTTGGTTGTGGTCTCATGGATCCCTGTGTTCATTTTTTTTTTTTTATTTTTAGCTTTATTCTTTTCTGTATCCACAATGCTCTATCTTTTGATTCTTTCTTTTGTCTTTCTATTCAGCTGTTGAACCTATCTTCTGGGCTTTTTATTTTATTTATTCTATTTTTTAGTCCCTTCGTTTTGGGTGTACTTGCCAAGACATTTTTTGCTAAGTCTTTTTTTTTTATTTCAAGCATGTTTTTAATTTCTTACAGGTGCTTTTTTGTTTTGTTTTATTTTACTTTGTTTTTTAAATAATGATTGACTTCTCTCAGGACATTCTAGTGTTTGTGTCAACTGTATTGGAATCTATTTGTTTTTTCATTAAGTTTGAATCTTCTTGGTTTCTTGGTGTAATGAACAATTTTTACTTGATACTGAACATATTCTTTATTTTTGTTATGAGACTGGATTTTACCTACACATTGATTTTGCTGGCTTTCTTTAATACTACTATGTTGTGAAAGGAAGGAGTTGTATATCATATTAGGGAGAATTTCAGTTTCCCCTTATTAACCTTTGTTGATATCTGAGGGTACATTTAAGTGAAGGTAGCAGTTGACTCTGTGTCTAGTCCTCATGGTAAACTGCTTTGAAGGGACCTCATTACAACTAGGAAGGGGTAAAAGTTTAACTCTTAGCTGCTGGCATCACATCTTGTTACTGTGAGTTGAGGTGAAAGTTTATGTTCCTCTTCATAATCTTCACTGATGGCAGGGGAAGGTGCTTATTACTGCCCAGAGAACATGAAAGTTAGAGCTACCTACTTGGCCTTCTTTTTACATTTCCCACCTGGGAATGTTGGGATATTTTTCTGATAAGGGCAGAGATCTGGTCTTGCTGGCATGGGTGAAGATGATATGTATGATTCTTTGGTATTTCACTGAGTAGAGTTGTTACTATTTCAAGGTTTCCTCTTGCTTGGTTGCCCTTTTGTTGGGATTTTCTTGTCTGTACACATTGATTTTTACTTGTTGCTGGTTTCTTCAGTTACATATCTGGAATACATAAAGCAAAAAGTGTAAACCCAAGGAACTTATCGCTATATTGCTGTTCAGTCCTAAGAGCCCTGACCATTGTGCTTTCTCACTGCATTTGAGAGCCTCTGTTTTGTTTCAGAGCCTAGTTATAATGTACAGGGTTCTTAGTTTGAGAGTTCCAGCAGGAAGAATAAGTAAAGCATGACTATTACATCTTTCACCTTCTCTCATTCACTTTTGTTCCTATGACAGCTGAGTATCATGTTTTAATTGTGTTCTTATTGTTAACCTTACCCTATCTTCCAGGCAGTAAAGGTACATTTTATTTAAAATAAAAAAGGAATGTAAAAAGTAATCAGATAGTGGGGAAAATACAGAGTTTGGCTTCAGCTGTGTTTATTAATCATAACTAGATATTTGCATTTGAGTTTGGTTTTTATAAAGGACCTTAGAAGGGAGGATCACATAAGAAGAGGTCACCTCTAAATGTATTTTGCACTAGACAGTAGTAGAAAGACAGCATTAGTGTAGGTCTAATTAGGATAGGCTGCTGACCTGGCACTAAGAAGTTTTTAACTGACTTCATTTTTTTTTTTAATTTTTTTTTTAATTTATTTATTTATACATACAGAACTGGGGTACAGGCCAGAGGAGCAGGGGTGGTGAGAGGCTTCACCAGAGACAAAGTGGGGAGTAGAACAGGCAGATCAATGAAGTACACTGCTGAGGGGAGCAGC